TGAGCGTGTGACTTAAAGATACAATTGTAGGCGGTTTTCTTTCAATAGAAACTCCTTATAGGTATGTAGGTACTTCGGGAATGAGAGTGTCCCGAAATTGTGGTGTGGTTATTTTACTATTTATTTAACCAAAATTATGGTTAAATAAATGGTAAAATAAATTATATTTAAAATTATTTATTATTATCTATAGGGAACTGATAATCCCAATCCTTTAGGCTGAGTCTGTGACTTTTAAGTTTATTACCAACACTGAAACGAAAGCGACGAATCAATTCATAATAATATATACGTAGTTACTTTAAATTAAGTGCGATACAACATTTTAAACACGTTAAGAAATGACACAATTTATTATGTACCCACTCTAATTTTGAGATTTAAAATAAGTTATACATATTTATCAATTATATATTACTTAAAATCGATGAATAATATAAAAGTAGCTAAATAGGCTGAATATCGAAGTTGTCATTACAAGTTCTAAGGAATGTAATTTGTGGCGAGATTGGCGCCAACGTCGAATAGATATATTTTAAATAATTGTTACAACGTGTAGAGCAGTGTTGGCCTGTTGGCCTAGTGGCTTCAGCGTGCGACCATACCTAAGGCCGTGGGTTCGACCCCAGCTGTGCATTAATGAATTTTCTTTCTATGTACGCATTTAACATTTGCTCGAACGGTGAAGTAAAAATCGTGAGGAATCGTGCCTTAGACTCAAAAAGTTGACGGCGTGTGTCAGGTAGAGGAGGCTGATCACATATTATATTGACAAATTATCATGAAACTTTCTTAATAAAAACTCTTGGTAAAAAACTGAAGCTCTCAAATAATGAAGTAACGTCGTATATGAATACTTGAAACTAACGTGAAGTGCACTAAGGGTTTAGTCGCCTCATGTCTCATGCAGTAAGAATGTGGTTAGTTTCCGGAGAAATAAAGATACACATTCCTGTAAAACAAAGTTGTCAATAGTGCCGTTAATTGCAATATTAATACACTTTCCTAAACATAATTTATTTAATAAATTAAATAATATATAAATAGTATTGTCTTTGATTAACATAACTTTTATTCATTTAATAAAACACTATTTTGACCGGATTGAAGTTATGTATTATTATAAATTTACAACTATTTAACATAATTTTAATTTATTTATCCGACGTTTCGCGTGCTTTACAGCGTGCGTGGTCACGGTGACCATACGTCGGATAAATTTAAAATTATGTTAAATAGTTGTAAATTTATAATAATACATAACTTCAATCCGGTCAAAATAGTGTTTTATTAAATATATAAATCCTTTGTAATATTAAAAACGAGGTCCTGAGGTCGTGGGTTCGTACCCCAGCTGTGGACTATCTGTCGTTGTGCGGATTTAACACTCGGTCGAACCGGTATGATTAAGACTCAGAAAGTCTATAATATCAGGCACCTACGGCTGGGTGATCAGCCTCTTAGAAACAGACTCTTACAAATGATGACGAAACAGATGCAGAAATCTGAACTCTAACCTTAAAAGGCCACTGGTTTTATTTAATAGAAAAAAAAACTTATATAATAATCATTAATATTTTACTTTTTAACACATAATTAATAGTGTAAAATATTAAACATTAGCAATAAATATATGCAAAGCATTTCAAACTTAAACAAAAATCATGTATTTGTGTATATATATGTCTATATATAAATCTAGAACTTTGTCGAATCCTCTTGAACACACAAAAAATTTCACCAAAACCGGTCGGAAGAACCGGAAGTTTAATTACAAACACCAATACAATTGTTACTATATCTTTAAATATAGATCTATATATTTAAAGATATAGTAACAATTGTATTTGTTATTTAAATAACAAAATGGACTGGACCTACTCGAGAGAGTTAAGAGATGTATAGGACGACAAAAGAAAAGATGAACAGATGACATTATAGAACTAGCCGGGAAATAATGGATAAATGTTGCTCAAGACAAAGAGAAATGGAAAAATATGGAGGAGGCTTTTGCCCTAAAAGGGGCCGTACAAAAAGTAGACCACTAAAAAAGAAAAATAAATCTAACCTTAAATTCTTAAAACTTATACTAACTCAACTATTTCTAATATTAAGGAATGTAAACTAACCAATTGTTGTATCGATTAATAAATAAAGCTTCAATAGTAATACATAACAATTTTATTAAATACTTATATTAATTCTAAAATATGGGAGTCTAAAAATATAATATGTATCTATTAATATTATAAAGTAATGTCAATAAAATGTTAACTACCTATTTTGAACAAAAATAATGTCCGCCCTTTGTCTTATCCGTACCAATAAAACGAAGATAACTGGGATTCGATTAAATCTAGATCCAGATTTATTTTACTAGCACTATTGCCAGTGATAAAAGACGTTTAAATGTCAACATTGTCACGATTGAAAAGAGCAGACTTGTAGAAATTTTTCGTAACTGGCAACCGTGTATCTGTCATTTAATTGAATGCGTTCTAATTATGAGATTGAAATGTTGCCAATTATTTGATTTTCTTATAATTATTATTATAAAGTGTGATTAGTGGTCAAGCGTACAAGCCCCTGTGGTTGCGCGTTCGAATCCCCACCAATTCTTTTTTTTATATATGACAATGATGACAGGAGACTCATCTGATGTTAATTGATATATGCCCATAGACACTCACACTACCAGAAGGCTTGCAAGTGCGTTACCGGCCTAATTTCTACTTGACTAAGAAAAAATATAAATAAAACAGAAGTATGTCTGCTTTTTCTCCATTCGGACATTATGGAACTGCATACGTTCATAATATTATTGACATACGAGTACAATTTTAACAAAAAAAAAGGGTGCGTGTACTTACTGTACGCGAGTAAGAAGTTATACTTCTTTGGCATTATTAAAATAGTTTTTGATTGCATGCAAATAATTAATTACAATTAAATAATCAAAGACTGGAAAAGGAGACATTATAGTCAATAAAGTTCAGCTTACATTTGAAAAATTAAATATTTATTATTATTCTCTTACATTAAGTGTAACATAAATTCTATTATTATTCGAATGTTGTTTTTAAATTATGTCCAATGCCGTAGCATCTTCCATGGGCAACTTCATTCTGTTAATTTTGTGTCACGGTGCGCGCGCATCGTAAAATTTCACTCTCATCAATTTTTCATAACGCGCCTAAAGAAGTATAACTTCAGACAACACGTCAAATTATAGCAGTCTTTAAAAGTACTTAGTCTTTCAAAGACAAAACGTGTAACAAATCAAATTAATATAGATGAAAAACGTTTATATATAGAGGCGGCAAGTTATTAACCTCAAAAAGGATATAAAAAGGTTTAATTGGTTATTTATAAGGTCACTTCCCTTCTAGAAAAAGTATTCAATAGCTTTATCCCTGTGGTTTAAAATTACGCGGCAATACTTCACACTAAAGAAATAATGGAAACACTAAATCATTATGGAATTTACTACATATAACTACGCAGAGATTTATCGTCCGGCAACGAAAGAATACGTAATAATTTTGCATGTTACACGCGTTTCTGTCACTTATTATAAACAATATGAAGGTTGTTTTCGTGTGCATATATTTGACCTGTAGAACCTTAAGAACAATGAGTTCTTGTGGTATGAAGGTAGATTTAAGTTTATTTCGCAATACGCTCATTCGAGTACGCGTTGTGTGAACTTTTAAAATTGTTTTTGCTTGTTATTGAAAAAATATAGCCCGAATAACTGACTGGATAAACACAGCTTTTACCTTTGAGACGGTATATTAATAAATTATATAACAAAGAGAAATATTTTAAAATAACCACCGATTAAAAAAATGCCATTCTTTTTTATGAATTAGTTTGCTATCTGTGGCTATGGCTTGACTTCTAACTTCCGCTAAAGACATTAAAAAACATTTTTAATAAAAACAAAGATTGAATGAAAAAAATCGCTAGTACAGTTCTGGGTCCAAGGATACTTTAAATAAAAGATAAATAAATTTCTTAAGAGAGAGCCTGAGAGAAATAAACAGCCATGGCTCGTAAAAGAAAAAACAGCCTTACCAGATTAAAACGCGCATAAGTATCAGCATGTTCCATTTAGTAGTCTGCGCTTTTAACATTATTAGAAAATTATTAATTTATTTTTTATTGGTGTTGGCGCAGTGCGACATGCTTGGAATTTAAAAATGGAAGGTGTGAATTTTATGTACGAAAATATAACTTTCCCGTTCGAATAGTTTGTATGTAGTAGTACAAATTGTACTGAAAACCCTACGTTAAATCTGTGACCAATATTGGGTGCATATTGAGGAGTTATAGTATTTACTAGAGAATAATACTGAAGATTATATCCATATACAATCACACAGTATAAAACATAAATATTGTTGGGCCTCTGTATAAATGCTTTATTGCTTCAAGGCGCTACTGAATATGATAACTTGTAAATAAACATTAAGTAACCAAAATGTTATAATTAAAAATATTATTTTTATATGAGTCACGTGTCACAAAATAGTCACAGATTAGTATAAAATAGTATAAAACTGGTGACGTGGGTGTACATGACTTCATCTTGACGTTTAATTACGTGTTTACTGGAATGGCACCTCATAAGGACTGGTGCGACGCCATCTTGCCTAGAGAAGCGTTTTGGCGGGTTCTTGAAATTTTGTTTTTTAAATTAAAGTAGTTAACATAATTTCTATATAGGCCGGGAGATAGTGACACAAAATAGTGGGTTATTTGTACCAGTATGGCGGTTCTTCAGGGGTCTTATTACGAAATGAAAAGACGAAAAATGATGAGCATAGAGCTGGTACCGGCGGCGGCGGCTAACGCGTGGGCGTTAGTCGAACTCGTCGGATTAATAACGGCTTAACGATTCAAATTCCTATTCATCAAAGATACGAAATCTCAGGACCCAGGGTTGAGTCACGCAGGTTTGAAAAGGCCGGCAACACACTCGCGAGCTTTGAGTCTCCATGTACGGGGCGGTAGCACTTAAAATCGGGTGAGCCTCCTGCCCGTTTGCCAGCTTTTCTAAAAAAAACACTTAAGGACTAGGCTAGTATGTCAAATTTGAAATAGAAAAAAATAACTGGCTATGGGCCTTAGGTCGCATGGCAAGTTTCTATCAATGTAATTTTAAACCACTTGCACTGTGTCAAATTATCTAAAACCTTATAATCTGTGTTGAAAATCGGAACAAATGCTTTCATAGAATAGAAATCAGGGTTACCTATATCATATATATCATTTATCTATAAATGCAATCATTATTATCACAAACAATGATTGGAAACTTGCGGTTTTCCGCACAATATTATTTTAGAATCCAATTCGATATTATTCCAGTCATACTGAATATATAATATGTATGCAGTATAGGAGACTTATGTTTTTTGAGCATAGTCAGCAGAATTAAGCGGTAATGCGGTAAAGCGTTCTTAGGATGTGTTTAAAAGCCGGCTGGGTACCAATAAAAAAATAAATCAGAGGCGCTAGAACCTTTTTGGTCTGGGCCTCAAATTACTGTATTTGTTTCATGATCATTTGTCAATCTAAAAGGCAAGTAGGTGATCAGCCTCCTGATCACACACGCCGTCGACTTTTTGGTTCTAAGGCATGCTGGTTTCCTTACGATGGTTTCCTTCACTGTTCGAGCGAATGCGTACATAGATAGAAAGTCCTTATGTGCACAGGTGGGGTTCGTAACTACGAACTCAGGGATGAGCACACTGAAGACGCTGTTCTGTGCGATTGGGCGCCAATACATATTTATTTATATGATCGCAACTTACATGTTTGTTATTTCTTTGCAGAACTATCAAGCGGCTAGCAGTTCGTGTATTCATGCTAATTATACTCCAAGCTGCTGGTGCCGGCTTTGCAGCTCCAAGTGTGTTGGTTACCAGGCATGAATCCAGAGCGGTAGAGTGGCTGCCGATGGACAATCAAACTGTCTACAGATTAGATGAAGGGGAGACCAGAAAGTACGTAACAAAAAGAACGACATAACACGATTGCGGTGCCGCCTAATAGAAAAATATTTTGACGTTTTCTGATGTTTAAAGGTCAGTACTCACATACGGTATTACTCGAAGTAGAGTAAAAATCAACGTGTGGACCGCAAAACTCACAGGTCGAAGGCTCGCACCGAGCCGGCTCGATGGAATTAAATGAAAGTAATTTCCTTCGAACCTACTCGAAGCGAGCCGTCAATCTTGACTCGAACGTGTGTACGTGACTGCGAGTGGCGCGAGGCGAGCGTCTGTCTGGTATTGTTTATCGTGATTGAAACACGTGTTTTTTAAGAGAAATTTATTTGCGAGTTTATTAACACATATAGAGAGTGTGAGTGTTTATGGAATGTCAAACAAAAATAATAGAAATGAATGTTATGATAAATTACTAGCGTTTTTTCTTTTCATTTTCTTTGATTTTCTTATAAAGCACTGTGAGACTTGCTAAATGCAGCCACCGTCTCCTTTGTTGCACATACATCCTTTGGCGAACGGTTCGGCGAATACTGAACGGCGCGCCTCACTCGATAGATCAATGCTCAATGTGTGGACGAAAACCCATGCCATGGGTTTTACTCGACAGTTTAGCTCGATCGAGTAATACCGTATGTGAGTACTGACCTTTATAGAAACGTGCGACAATTTTGCCGATGACTTTTCCCTCTCACTTATCTATGTACATTTGGTGTAGAAAATTTCCATATTCTTGAGAAAAACAACTTGCCGCCCCCCAACCAGTAATCCGCCTCCGCGCACTCACCTCACACTTTGTATAAGTGAAAAGAGCGAAATTGCTGAAAATGTATTCCCCTCTTCACTCTTCCCTCTTACATGTCAGTCCTACTACTGGTTGGAGGCTGCGAACTGGATGGTTTGTGTAATTATGTGCTAAAAAATCAAACCAAAAAAATATTTTACGTGCAATCTCAAGTTGTTGGATTGTAAAAATAATGTGGGACATGACAATCGAAGAGGCGTGGGCGGCATAAACTTCTTCTACCTACCTAACTTGTAAATTCGCCACTGCAAGCGATCGATAATAAGCTCACGAAATTATTGTTATTTAAAAGTGCGTTAAGAAAGAATTTAGGCGCGTTAGTTGAAGTCTTAGCAGCGTCACTGCAACTTCATTAGTGTATGTGCCTTATCCTTTTTAAAACTGTTTGTAAAGACTTTGTTAAAACAAAATCAATTTAGTTTTCTACTGTTTGAATTTAAGCACCATAGAGTAGCCAGTCTCTAGCCAAAGTCTAGAAAAACATGCCTCAGTTAAAAACTACCTCGTTTTACTCGTACTGTGGACGGAGAAATTGTGACCCATATCACAAAAATGTTTGAATATTTTTTTTAATCAATAAAAAGTCATCGTTAAATTCGTCGTAATGGAATCACGTCACTGTCAAATATGTAAAACTTCGTCCAATGTTTTGACAGCTCTTGAAAATAGATTCAAGTTTTAATTAGCGTTATTCTTCTCCTATTTACTTTCCTCAGTACACGAGGCAAATATATACTTAAAATATGTTAAAAAACTCAAATCAAACTCAAAAATAGTGCTGCGGTATACACGGAAAGCCGGCCGCGCCACTTACACAAAAATTATTTTAATATTTACGGGCAAGCCCGGCTACCCAGCGCTCTCGTTTCACCTTCCTTCCTATTCACAAACTTAACTAGTTTTAGCTTCTTTAACTTGGGAATCAAATTCAGTTTCCCTGTCTCCAACTACTTCGCGCAAACGGTCCAACCGTTTGCCGTTAGAAGATTTAGATATTATTATAATATAACATTATTTTATCCCATAAAAATACGATACAAGACATGTATATATAATATCTTCCTTCTTTCAGTTTGGAGCTAAACACAACACAATTATTACAATCAACGGTGTACATCACAGTGAGCCCCTGCTCCAGAGATTTTCATTGGGCTCTCTATAGAGGACATTTCCAAGGTTCAGACGGTAAGCTGAATACATTTTTGGATTAAGAAAATTTAATTTATTTAAAAAAAATATTTACATGAGAAAATAATCGCCGCAAAATGAAATACAAATTTTAATGTTATTTCACATTGTATTTAACAAAATTTAAGTAGAACACAGTTTATTACTACAATAAGATAATTTATTCAAGAAATTTATTTATTTATCTTTTAAACGCACTATTGACAATTTTCATTCACATATTCAACGGGTGTTTAACTAAAGGTGTTCTCAACAGATCAATTGAATCTTCTACAAGAAACTAGCGGAAGTGAAACCAGTACATTGTCTGCGGTTATAAAAAATGAAGATCGGTATATATTACAGGTAATTATATAATTAAATACTAATATATATAATTAAAGTATATAATTATGTATTAAAATCATCTTAAAAATTAAATAAACATTTTTATATATTGATTGATAACACGATAAATAAAGTCAAACAATATAAGTATTTCATGTTTAAACAACTTAAGGCACCAAGCCTTAAGTTGTTCGAACTAATTGAAAGACTACATTAGTTCGAACAACACAGTCTTAGTCCGTCACAAGATATTTACGCTACGATGAAGAGACATATTATAGCTTTTTTGACGGCTATGTCTGGAATGAGTTTAAAGTTTTGGTAAATTAAGGTGGTACAAAACAAAATAACCACGTTACTAAATTAACCAGAAATTTCTGAATTCGACTCCAGGCTAAACAATAAACATATTAACGGAATCGGGTTATGTACTATTACTATAATTCTTAAAATAGGCTTAAACCTACTTTCCTACAGTCCCACAAAGCGAAATCATATAATTATTAGACAAAGTGAAGAATTCGCCGTTCTCGTTTACAATTCAGATTATTAAATGGAGACTATTTTTTAATAAATAAAAAATCTGATGTAAATTACTAATTACTTAGGCTAAAATTTAGTGGCGTTATTTATTTTTCAGCTATTCTCATCAAAAGGGGGCGCTGCAGCGGTCAGCGTAAGGGGAGAGGCTCCGCGACTCGTTCGTATGCGGTTACGCACGCGATCGCGGCGAAGGCTTTCAGCTAACTGGGACCCAAGGTACCAAAAAAAATTTTTTTCTTACAATAAAGTTCACAAAAACGAGTGCGACTTTACATGAATTACAATCTAGCCTATACAATGACTATGGCTAATAAGGAATATTATTTTGACCTAATTTTTTACAATACTAACGAATAGCTTAAACCGAACTTTGGTTTTAGGCGTCTTATTCCTGTTGTGTCAACAATAGAAGAAGAAAATTTTGATTGTAACAGTTTAGGATATCGATGCAGACAAAAATCGGCCGGCAATTCACTTGAAAGCTTTCTGGCAATGTGAGTCTTCATAGGCGGTATCACTTAACGTCAGATGAGCCCCCTGGGCAGGTTTTGGCTGGTTTGATATATTAAAAAAAACTACCATATTATTGTGACCATCAAACGTGTGTTTAAAGACTGAGGTCTGGCCTTTAAACTCTGATACACCAATACAGTTGTCTCCTAAAGCAAATACTCGGCCGTTAAGTTAAGGAAGCAAGCCGACCTAAAACCAAAAATTCAAGATGAAGCAAAAAAATAGCCACTTATATAAAACATGAGACCTTTTGAAATTTGAGGCAAATGTGTTTATTGTACTTTATATATCTCCTACAGAATTACACAAGTTAACGCAGCATGTCTAATACAAAAGCAAAGCATTGCGATTCTGTAACTCACTTTTCGAACTCACACAGCGGTTTTCGCATCGGCGGTCGCTCTCAAATCAGTCGTAAAGCAGTCATTTTACGATTTGGCATTCTGATAAGGAAGCTTGTAGTTTATTGTTCGCGACCGCCGCTGCGAGAGTTCGAAAAGTGAGTTACAGAATCGCAAGGCTGAGCTCGGTATATAATTGGAATATCGCCCCAAAATTATAGTTAGTAGCTCTCTTCAGGATTTCAATTATACTATAATACCATTATCAAAGATCTTTTAATTCTTTTAAAGTACAAAGCTTAAATCTCGTAAGAAAATCAAGCAGCATTTTCTCTAAATTCCGTATTTAATTCATATCATAACTGGACGACGACGTAAAAACCTGTCAAGTTAGCACCGTTATACTCTCACAAACCATAAATCCATGCTGTCGGGAGTTCGTCACATGTATAGATGAATTTATGATACGCCATACATGGGCACGATATGACTTAACAAGGCGCCGTTTACACTAGAAACTATCTATTGCGTTTATAATCTGTGGTAGATGGCTAATATATTCTGTGGGTTGTTTTACATTTTTTAGATTAGTTTAATAATTTAATAGAAGTCATTACCGGATTAATTCTTATTAAAAGATTAGAGTTTTACGTACATTTGTTTATTCTGAAATGAAACAGGAAATGTTAGAAAAGGATTGGCATATTTGGCAAATTTTTGTGCATCGCGCCATTTTAGGTATTACTAAAGGGAAACAGATGGCGCCAGCAACATTCATGGTTGACACTTCATTGACATTTAAGTCAACAACAATCTCCGTGTCACATCAAATAATAAAAATATACGCCATATTACTAACCTATCATTGACAAGCAATCCATATATTGTTTTCGGAAAAGTTCAGAAACGAGACTGAGGCTAAGTCTGACATCCATATGTCAAAAATGTTTCTTGTCATAGTTCGCGCTTTCAAATAGTAATGACCCAATCAACATGAAGTCACAATTGAAACTACAATTAATACAATTATTGTGAACTTAGGCTTATAAAATCTACGCGCGATGTTTTAGCCGATCAAGCTGTGTTCGCTACACACCCTTTTTGGTAATAATTGCTTAAGACGTGTTAACATTGCGTTATTAGCAGAAAATTTGCTTTTCAGATGATATTAATAAGTACGTAACTGGGTGTATATAAATACAACTGTCAATTAGTATGAGCTATGAAGTGTTTTTTTAACTATACTTCTTTTGGCGTGTTAGGGAAAAATGATGAGAGTAAATTTTTACGATGCGCGCACACCGTCACAAAAAACCGACACCCTGAAGTTAGATATAGTCAACATTTTAGTTTTTTTGTGATTTTTAAATAAACTTTATTTAACTAGATAATGCGTTATAATAAAACTTTCAATATATTAAATAACTTTTTTGTATTGTTAGTGTCGTTTTTTCTACAAAAGTAGAATAGAATATTTGAAAAGATTTTTATCTTTTTTTTTAAAGTATAACTTCCTTCTAATTTATGTTCATAAGTAAACTCACGTTTTTTTTCACAAATATTTATCTACCCTCTCTAGTCCCTCTCGAGTCACATTCCACTGAAGTCTTTCCAAACCAATTCGACTTAGGGTCCTTCAAGATAAGAGCGTACGAATTCCTAAAAGGCTGGTAACGCACTTGCGAGCCTTCTGTCAGTCAGAGTATCTATAGATATCACTTAATTGCTTTGTTTTGTTCCATTAGTTTTGTCTTAATAACTGTGTCTTATATATTGAAGCACTTCTTGCTTACCTTCTCTTTTTCTCACAGTGGTTGCTTGGAAGTGATCGCTCGAAATCGATAAGGCCGCCAGTTGCTCTCCTTTTTTATTTAATTATGTCAATCGCATTATATTTCTGAATGCAACGAAGTGTTAATGAATTAATAAATAACATTCTTAACAAATTAAAACGGTTCCAAACTAACTCCCTCGTAACTGACCGTTTAAGGGCCACTATGTAGAAGCAATTATAAGCACGCACTTGTGACCTTTCTGACAGTATTACAGTACCAATTCGACTTAGGGTCCTTCAAGAAAAGAGCGTACCAATTCTTAAAAGGCCGGCAACGCACTCGCGAGCCTTCGTTTCCATGTGTGTCCAGTGGCGGTTTTAACGTCAGATGAGCCTGCTGCTGTTTGGCTCCTATTACATAAAAAAAAGTGCGTACGTACAAAGTACACATGTCAGAAGTGAAACTTCTTTGTAAATTAATTATTGAGTAATTAAGCTGGCCAAATCCCATAATTAAATTTTGCCAGTCTTTTTATATTAATGAATGATACTAAGGCTAATTAAAAACCAGATCTTAAATTAGTTGTTGTTATGTATAACCGTAATATAATACCATATAAATATAAAATTCAAAATTCAAAAATCATTTATTCACGTAGGTAACACAATGTACACTTGTGATTCGTCATTAAAGAAATACATATTAATGCTTCTAATTTTACATTTACTGCCAGTTCTCAAATCAAGGGCGTAGAACGGAAGAGAGGAACTGGCAATAAACTCTCCGCCACTCTTTTTAATCGCCATGTTTTTTTTACACAACGTTTGTAAGGAGCTGCAACCATTACACCATGTTCCACATGACATCTTAAGTAATTAATATAGTAACAATTACCAAGTAATATAACAAATTCATTATTATCATAATTGCTAACTTGTGTCCACGTTTTCTAAAATAGCCAACTGGGCTTAGCAAAAAAGGTCTTGGTTCTGTGCCCTTAGAAAAATACAAAACCAATTTTTTTTAATTTAGTTAGTTAATAAAATAATAATGATATTAATATGTATTAGTAGTGTTGTTTGATGATTTGCTATTTTAAAAGAGTACCGAGAGTTTTTTACGCCGGCTTTTTCTCTCGGCCTCCTCTGTCTTCTTTGCCGATGAGTGATACCTGTATCTTATGTTCCATAATAAACATTTTTATTTTTTATTAAAAACACATATCAATATATCTTCGTGACCTTCCGTAAAAAATTTACCATTTACCCAAAAGAAGTTTCACTTCAAAAAGTATTGGACACACTCACTACAACACGATTATTCCCTAAACCGACTAAGATAAGCCTTAAATGAAGCACATGGATAAATTCCTTTAAATTAATTATCGTGAGTAACCAGCCCTTAAGATAATTAACCATAGTAGAACCCTCTTGGTATACGAGATTAAAAAATAAAAATAGTAATTGCCCTGTAATAACTATTGATTGTCTCCTCATTTCAATTACATTGTAACGTGAAGATTATCTGCATTCCTAACATATTTGTGCTGTATTAACCTGTATCATAGCCACGCGTAGATTTTATAAACGATAAAATTACTTTGAGAGTTAATCGGAATTCTACACCACGTTTCGAGTTGTTTATGACAAGTAAATAAAAATTAAAGAAGGTCATTAGAATGTGATTGTTTATGGCAGCCTTTATTTATTTATTTATTTACACTTCATTGCCATAAAACACATAATTATACATATTAAAAAAAAGTAAGTAGGTTACATAAGTTATTAGGCAACGGGCGGCCTTATCGCTAACAAGCGATTTCTTCCAGGAGGGTTTCCTTAAAATGGATCAATAGAAAAAAAAAGGAACACCTACAGAGGATAAAGTACAAGAGATGCATAAGTAATTAACAAAAATATACTAAAAATAACATGCAACTACATATAACTAAAATTAAATAAAATAAAATCTAAAGAAAAGGTATAAATAATAATGTTCAGATTTCATCATTTGAACATGAACGAACTGCTGACATGGATTCGATGTGTGCTAAATATTAACAGCTGAAGAGCAATTTTAATTATATTTTATTTAAATTTTAATCAGCTGTTGACTCAGATCATATGTGTTCCATATTTTAATAGTTGAGGTTGCGCGATACACCAACAGCTCACTGTATGTATAACCAGACATGTAAAAGCTCAGCTTAAGGTTAATTGACTCACAATTAATATATAAATACCTTTAGTAGGTTTTGGAAGATCTTGGAAAACCTGCTAAAACCATAGCCCCAGATCGAATACCTTTTTTGATTTGGAAAACAGTCAACAGTGACTCACAAAGTTGTATGAGAATTAAACTCTAACACGAGTTATTACATTAAGTTACATATATATTAAGTTTTAGATGCGTAAATGTAAGCACATTTGAAGCCAAAATGGGCCCTTTAGTTTTGTTCCACACTCATAAATTTAACATTCTCTTTTCCGATAATGTCCAATAACATGTGTATCACATAAGCGAAATACACACTGAGCCCGCCGGGCCGCCGACGAAGTCCGGCGACACAACCCGGCGGCCTGTATGA